TAAGTGTGAACGAAATATTGTGCATGCAATAATAAATTAATACTCCGTATAAAAGTGAATTAGAAATGTTAGGATGAAGCCGAAACCAATGAATTGATGCCGGCTTGAGACGAATTTGCTCAAAACACAAATAGTAATCGTCTCACAAGATAGAACGTAACGGGTTGTACGTTCTCGAAGGACACTCCCGAACTCAAAGACACAACGTTAATGAAGGATCGGAGGGAGAAGAGAGAGTTGGAAGACATATATTTGGATGCTAAAATGCATGCAGAAATGAGTATATACAGAGCTATGTCTAGCCAACTCTTCACTCAAGAAACACTTAGAAATAAAGGTGTTGTGTTATTCATTATTATTCCAAAAACCATGTGTGTGAGATGCTGAGATGTAAAACACAACGCATTTAATCACGCATGGAGGTCTTATCTAACATCTAATGATGCTTAATTCCGAGATACTATAGTCCTACACGAACCTTGCTTCGGAGATAACTTCGGGAAACAACTTTTCATTAATTTCAAAATGGGTTTTCGACAAATAATATATGAAAACGTTTTCTCACGTAGTACAATATGTTAGGATTCAGTCCTACTAGCATACTCTTACAATTTTAGCTATAAAATGATTAATATATTAATTTATAAAACCATTTTTCTAACCATAAGTGCAAATTACTTCATCATTGAGGGATTAAGGGTTAATTAGTTGAATATACCTATACTTTTCTTGTTTGCATCCTTATTGTGTGTGTTAATTTATTTTTACACAATAAAGAGAAATTGGCCTCGTTGCAAAGGTGTTTTTTATACTCCCTCCGTCCCTAAAAGAACTTCCAACTTTCCCTTTTTGTCCGTCCAAAAAAGAACTTCACTTTTCCTTTTTGGCATAGAATTTGTGGTTCACAACATTTCTCTCTCCTCTGCACAACTCTCCACCACACAATTCCCACTTTCTTAATCAGTGTGCCACTTTATTTTGGAAGAACATTTAGGGACGGAGGTAGTATGTAATTTAACGTTTTTTCAAACACTCATTCACCTCTTAAATTCAACCGGATCTATTTAATACAACTAGCATTTCAGATCAGTAATATAATTCAAAATTCAATTTCAGATAACAATTAGCAATTTAGTCAATAACCTCTAATTAAGACATGAATGTTTAAGAAATAGCTCGATCATCAATGCTACTCCGCAATACTCCGTATAATTATTTAACTATCCAATGAGTTAAGCCACTTTTATGACCAACAATCTCTTTAATTAAATTTTAAATATTCATCAAATGTAAATGAAATTTTGGCATTATAAGATTTACTTAATAAAATTTCTAATTATTTTAACTCGCGCGTCAAATAACTTTGATGATTAACAAACTATCATAATATTAGAATTTTAAACGAGTACATAATATTACATGTGATTTTTACTTAAAAGTGATTAACCCGCTACAAAAATAATTAAACACTTAATTGAACAAATAATAATTAAGGACAAAAACCTAATTATAAAATCAATTGTATTATAATACGAATAAAATAGTCTTTATACAAAGAAAATTAATATTTGTACACGTCTACGTACACCACTTATATATATATATATATATATATATATATATATATATATATATATATATATAGAAATGAGAACGAATCTGGACCGTTAGATTTCAAGTGAAATTCAGTGTGCATTAGATGAAACCGTAATGTGCATTAGGTGAAATTGAAATGTGCATCACAAAGGGTACGATAGAGTGACATTATGTGCGGTTGAATTGTGCATTACGTGAAATTGAAATGTGCACTAGGTGAAGCTGAAATGTGCAGAATAAAAAGTACGATGTGATGTTATTTTTGTACTTTTTTTTTCTCACATATCAGTTTCATCTAATGCACACTTGAGTTTAAATTTTTATTTTGCACATTTCAATATCATTTAATGCACATTTCAGTTTCACCAAATGCATAATTTGGTTCCACATAATACAATCCAACGGTCCAGATTCGTTCTCATTTTTCTCCTAAGATCTGTTCTTACCGGAACCGTTCCCTATATATATATATATTAACATCCTTATATTTTTGTCTATGACACCAATACATGAGCTTTATTAACAAGTAAGTTCAACCAATTTTTGAATGAAATATTTACTAAAAAATCCGACCCCATACATATACGCCTAATCAATTTAATGATAATTATAAGAAAAAAAGAGTTATATTTGACTAAGAGTTAAAATGTTTTTTTATTTAAAAATGCAAATGGTGGTATTTCACGATGATTATAGTAGCCACACTCACCTGCTCAATTACTACACCTATTGAATTTATTCCTATTTTTGTTTCTTTTATCTTTTATCTTCAATTCTTTATCTTTTTACGTTCTTATATTATTTTTATCTTTTATTGCTAGGATTGTCTCATCTTTCGTTTTCGATTCATTTCACTAAGATTGTTCATTCCAAATTTGGTAAAATTTGTATGGTTCTAAATCATATTTACTTTATTAATTTAATATAAATCGCACAAACTCACTTTTCTTAATTACCGTATCACTTCATCATGCCCCAATATTAGTGGGATGGTGGTGAGATCTTTTTATCTATCTTAGGTTCTTATGTTTTTATCTTATACGTTACGGAGTATTTATTTTATCTTATCATGTTACCTTATCTTTTTTTTTTCTCTTTTAATTTTGACGTATATATTGTAAATCGATTCACGTTAGCGACTCCAAAGTCTTTTGAGAACAAGGATTGAATGTTGTTGTAATGAGAATTGAGGTATTTTCATGGCAACTATACAATTAGACTAGCAACGATGCCCAATGCAACTATTTAAGAATGTATAGCACGAAGTATATATAAGAAAATTAAAAGCAACGAGGAACTCAAATAATATGACCAAAGGATTTTGATTTTTAAAAAGGTAAAACTTAAAACATCCTTAAAATGGTGCTCAATATTTATTTTATTTTAGACTACAATCACCTCATAGTGGCTTTTTAGTTAACGACTATGCAGCAAAGTCCTTATATTCTGCATCCCACCGAACAAGCAAATGAGCTTACCTTAATTAGAAATTTTGTTTCAAGCAACCTATAATATTTTTTAAACGAATGTTCTCTATTACCACGAATGTTATTGTGTACATCATAAAGGAAAGCTTCCACTCCCAATGTGGGGCACTAATTCTACCCAATGAGAATGGTACGCACTACGTAGTGAATAAGCATAACACCCAAAGGCCCTAAAGAAGTGTGTCTAAGAGTAGCAGAAACTACAGAACGAATCTTTCCCTAACTAGTTAAATGTCCCGCACCGGAAACATTTGGATGAACAAAGTGCTATATTAACACATGAGTTACTCCTCCTATAAGATTGACCTTTTAGAATGAAATCATGTGTCTTAACATGGTATCAAAGCCAAATTGATCCATGGTATGAGGCCCCTTATGAAAAATGATGACACGATTATAAAAAAACGACCGGATGGAAAAAAACAGACCGATGAAAAAAATGAATGATTGCACGATCCAGACGAAGTGTCTGGTCGTGAGGAGGGGTGTTAAATGTCCCACACCGAAAACATTTGGATGAACAAAGTGCTATATTAACACATGAGTTACTCCTCCTATGAGGTTGACCTTTTAGTATGGAACCCCGTGTCTTAATAGCTTAACATCAGATAAAATTAACAGAAGTAAAAAGACGAAAAATGATCCTGGACTTCAGTTTGAATGATTTGTTTACTGTGTTTTGTAACATAAATTTGAAGTGTTTTTGTCTGAACATGGATGTCATATGTGGGGTAAATAAGTATTGTGTACAGAAGATCAATGCTTCATAAGATTGAGGCCAATCGACAAAGATAGAGTTGTGTATACATAGACGAAGCATGATAGATAAACCTCATAAACTTCGAAATTTACAAATATTATTGCAAAGACTATTGTGAACTACGTTAGAGGTATTATGTAAGAATACTTTTCTACCGCCTCAGAAAAAGAAGCAGAAGTTGAAGTCGTCTAGATTATTGTTCAATCAGAAGCAGTATTTAAAAAACCAAAACAACTGAGTTATTACGGCAACAATATTTGCTTTGGGCGAGAAAGGATGAAAGGAATACCTTGTGACGTTGAGAGAGCTATTAGAAATATAGAAAATAAATTAGAGATATTTTATAGTCTAGATATATATTGTAAACACTTTGTCTTAGATTTTATCAAGATCGAGTAGCCGTGTAGAAGATCAAAAGCGAAGAGGCAAATGTGCATATTTCTATGGAAGAACATAGTCTTGAGAGGCGGTTCCCAACAGCTTGATAACCGCATGAAAACATATTTGAATAGACGCATTGAAGAGGTTGTCAAGGGACGTTAAATAGAAGATCGTTCCGCTAATTGTTTGGACAGAATATGTATTATGTAAATAATAGTTGTCCCTTGTTACATAAGCAAAGATTTTATGGGACGTTTGGATCTACTTCTTACAATTACTTCTGCTCCTTCAGAGAGCAAAAACGGATATTGGAGTGTTTGGATGAAATTATAGAAGTATTTCTAAGGGCTCAATAATGCTTGCAGAAGCAATTTTTTAGAAAATGAGAGAGATCAATTCCAAACTCCTCTTTTATTCACAAATTCTCTTTTCGTAAAATCGTATGAAAAACCAATTATAGTTATATTTTTTTTTAGAAAAGAGGCAAATAAGCCCTCAAACTATTTGCGATTTTGCAATTAAACCCCTGAACTGGAAGACTTGCAAATACACCCCTCAACTCATTGAAAATTAAGCAATCAGGTCCTTTTTTACCTCCTGATGCAGGTAAGGAGATGAGAAATTACTGACATCAACAGGTAAAAAAAGGATCTAATTGCTTAATTTTCAATGAGTTGAGGGGTGCATGTGCAAATCTTCCGATTCAAAGGTCTGTGAAGACATGGTGGGTACAATAGTAGGTACAATAGAGGATACAAGAAGAAGCTCCTGTAATTGGAGGGACTATGGAGCATTCACAATTTTGATGTATGGATAGGGAGTATAAGTATTACCTCCGTACATTGTTTTTTTTTTTTTGATCATCAAAGGTGGCTTAGATTAAAATCACAGCATTCAGAAAGGAGCTAAAATAACAAAAGCACCACAAGCAACCATCCGCCCTTGGGCCAGACTCTGAGTTAATCACCTTTGACAAAGCAATATAACTCGCTGATCCGAAATTGGGCATAATTGAGCCAATAATGGTTACTGCAGAACTCTCATCCCCCATCCCTAATGCAAGAGTCTTACAATAATAAAAATAACCAACAGAACAATAAACAGTCTGATAAAGAAAACTAAAATGCAAGCAAACAGTAAAATTGAAAAGATGCTTCCAAACCCTAGACTTCCCTGCTCTCCACGGCGGCGGTTCAGGAGGGGGACGATCCGTGATAACAACTCCCACCACCGGAAGTTCAACCCCCTTTGCGATTGGATAGAGATCAAACTTTGCCCAGCCAATCTGGATAGAGACCAAACTCTGCCCAGCCAATCCAGATGGCCGATTGTTGTTATATATCTTCTTCCTCATCACCTTTTCCATAATTGGGCAAAAACAAAAATCAACCATTGCCCAGCCAACCTCTTCTGCGAGTAAATCGATCGTCGTCAAAGCCGAAGAAAAGCCCCGGCCGCTGCACGAGCGACTCACCGACCTCGCCTCTAACCTGCAATCGACTCCCACAGCACCTAAATACTACCCACCGATCTTCGCCTAAGCCGAAGAACGGGAAGAACAAAAGCTACTCTAAAGGTGGCCGAGAGCCAACCCTAGAGAGAAGACTACAAATTCATATGCTCATTAGGACTAATTAAAAGTATGTTTTTTTTAATTAGTCTCTTTTTACCTCCGTACATTGTTAGTTAGTCATTATTGAATTTCCTTGTCAATCTTGTCAATTATGGTAAACTTTAATGATACATTTTAACATCTACGGGTTATATTTTAGTAAAAGTTATTAATTTTATGTTTTTATGATGATGTTTTTAACAAAGAATATTTTTATATCACTTTCAAATTTTAAACAATTTCCGTATATAAAGATATTAGTGGTCAAAGTCTAGAATCTTTTATTGGAAAAGTAAAAGATGACTAGGTAAAGGGTAACATTTTTTATTGGAAAAGTAAAAGATGACTATTGACTAGGTAAAGGAAGACCTAAGCAGTAACTTTTTTTTAACGTCCTTTCTAAGGTTAACCGCAACCCGCAACCGTCAATAAATCAAATTTCCCACTACTTTATACGTATTCACACTGTCAATTCAATTTTTGCTGCAATCCAACCACCGTCAATATATTATATTGCAATTTTTTTAACTTTATACATATGATATTGATATCATATGAAAGATAAAAAAAATTAGGAATTTTGATATAATTTTTGAAAAAAGATAGGTTCAAATAAAGAGCCCGTTTGGTAGCACGAAAATCGGCTGTTTTGGCTGATTCTGCTGAAATTTATGAAATTCTGGTTGAAGTGGCTGTTTTGGCTGATTCTGCTGATTCAAGAAAAAAATATTTTAAAAATATATTTGATTAATAAATTATAGAAAAAATTACATGTAAAAATTGCTAAAATAGTCCTCTACAGTAACTTCAGCCAATACAGCCAGAAAAGTAACTCCAACCTTACTTTTTCTGCTTATTACACAATTCAGCACACAAAAGTAAAAGTTACGTGTTTGGTGAAAAAGCTGGCTGATAAGCTTGATAAGCCGAAAAAAGAGGTCTCCAAACGGGCTCAAAAAAGTTGTAACACTTTTTATTAAAAAGAGATTTTGTTGTTGTTGGGGTCCACACTATCTCTCTGCATCAGAGCAACTTCCCCATTTTTTCTTCTACAAAGGCCGTGAATATGGGGTGCCATATTCTCCCTCCCTTGGGTGCCATTCTACCAATTTGAGACCACCAAATACATGGATTGGAGGAGTTTTAAGAGTGAATATGCTAAATTTAGTTTTTCACTGCGAGGGATGCGGACAGCCTAAGACTCCTCTTTCAAATGGATTGAAGTTGGCCAGTTGGGTTTAATGGGAGTTTGGAAATGGCTAGCTTAGGTAAACTTTATGACTAATGGTACTTAAGAAACATTTGATAACATCGCCTCTCAGCATCTTAGCCAAGGTTCTTCAGATCCGAATCCTATAACTTTATGGTGTTAATGTGTTATACACCAAAAATATGAAATGAGATAGTCAACTACTTCTTAACACTTTAAAAAGAAGACATAGATAACATAAATATTATTCATATGCTAATTTTAGATTACATCCGTTTCAAACATGCTAATTTTTCATAACATAATTTTGTAATCAATAAGAAAACTCATAATGCAAATCACATGTTGTTCTGAACCAAATACAATTTACAATACTACTTACTACATATCCGCAGGCTTAGGCGTTTTGTGACAAAATGGTGTGAGCGAAATCGCGGGCTTTGCATCTGGCAACGAGGGGCTCAGCTTTAGAAACTGTGACGCCAACCCCTTCCCCCAAACCAACATCCTCTTCCCCAATCCTTTCCCACTCAAAGCACTGTATCAAAGACCCCAAGACCAACCCAACAACCTTCTGAGCTAGCCCAGACCCCGGACACGACCTCCTCCCCATCCCGAATGGCAAAAGCTTCGTTGACTCTACATGTAACCCGTCAAACCTTTCCGGTTTGAAGCTTGAGGGGTCATCCCATATCTCTGGGTCCCTGTGGATGGCCCACGCGTTGACCAACAGCATTGTACCCTGGGGAATATCGTATCCCCCGATTTTACAGTCTTCAGATGAGTAGTGAGGCAGCAGTAACGGCGCGGCGGGAAACAACCGGAATGTCTCTAAGATTATACTGTGGAGGTAGTTTAGTTTTGGTAGGTCTTCTTCTTCAATAGCTCGATCTTGTCCGACCACATTATCAATCTCAGATCTAGCTTTATTGAGAACCCTTGGATGGTTAAGCAGAATTGACATTGCCCACTCCAGCGTCACTGATGAAGTGTCTGTCCCTGCTAGCAGCATCACCTATTATTGTTGTTCATCAAAATGTCAACATAATGAAGATAAGTTCATATTTAAGTAGACACAAGACATAGATGCCTACTTAATTTGCAACGGGAAAAACTTCACTCCTTAGTTTAATGTATTATAAATGCCAATGTGCAGTGTTTTAATAATAGTGTAAATATAATGAATTCATAATTCAACATTTCAGTATGATATTTCACTTAGACTTATACTTCCACACCGGGAAGTATCAAGATAACTATCAAGAGTGTTCTAAATAGATTACATGTGTAAAGTATGATATTTCACTTAGACTTAATACTTCCACATTGGATCAAACTAAATCAAGATAGGCTTGAACAACCTTAAACAAACCAAATAAGAACCTACTTAATCATACCAAACAAAATCAGACTATTCTTGGATAATAATAAAGTACACATAATAATATACCTGACTTTGCACCAAATTTGTTAAAAACATAGAGTACAAAACTATATAGATAGAACCAAATTTAAACAAACCAGTACAGACCAAACTGAACCAAATTTATGAACTATAAGATTTTAGTTCAAATGAATGTTTCTTACATCACAAGTTAAGACCTAGTACTTGTGTAATGAGAAAATATTAGGGATATATTTTACGAAGTAATTATTTTAGTAAAAAGTAATATAAAAAGTTTTTTGGAGTATCATTAACTCACTAAGATAAATGTTATAGACAAAAATATGACAATGTCACTATGAATATGTATCACTATTATGTAGAATTGAAAATAACATAGTCATAAAAATTATTAGTATGATCAGTGCATATAAAATCAATTTTGTCCACTATTAGTCCACTATTGGTATGATTTTATATAATATAAAATCGTACATTAGTCATTGTTTCATAATATAATGCTAGCAAAAGAAAATGCATATTATAAATAGCGCCAAAGTTCTCTAATACAAGAAAATGCATATTATAAATTGGGATATTAGAATACTACTTGAGCTTTATCATAAATGAAAGTTGACTTAACACTTCACATTCATGGATTTTGCAATTTTATAGTAGCGGATGTAAATTTCCTTCAAAGCCATTGTTCTAGAATTGAAGAGAATTTGAGCAATGAAAAAATTACAGTTTGCTAGTTATGAACTTGTTAGATTAAGATATGAAAATGTTATGGATTTTAGAATGTTTTTAAATGGGACTGAAACTAGTTCAATTAAAAAGTGTAAATTGTAGACTTAGTGACTCACCATCATTAACCCTTTGATGATTTGATCCGTGTAATACTCTGGTTGTGATTCCTGCAAAGAGAGCAGATGATTAATCATGGAGTTCCTGCCCCTATCCCGACGGTGCTCATCAATAAGTCCTTGCAAGAATGAATCCAATTTTGCAGCCAGCTTCTTCAAGTCCGGCTCCAGATTCTTGTAATTCACCCATCTTAAGATCGGCAGAAAATCCAGGGGATTAGAGGCTCCGCCGTACTTGAAGACGCCTTTCATTATCTCCCTGAAATCCCTAGCCTCTTTGTTCTCCTCCTCCACGCCGTAGTATCGTTTCCCGGCGACCATCCTCAGAATCACGTTGAAGGACAGCTGGGAGAATCTCGGCCTCAGTTCAACTGATTCAAACCCTTGACTCGAGACTTGGAGCAATTTCTGCAATAGAATCCGAACTTCGTCCTGCCGGATCGACTTAAACGCGTTGAGACGAGCGGCGGAGAAGAGCTCCAGTGAGCAGATGCGGCGGAGGTTCCGCCAGTGGTCGCCGTAGGGCGCGCCCGTCAAGACGGTGTAGTTGTAGCCGATGTATTTTCCAATCATGTTGCGGGGGCGGTTGGCTAAGACGACGTCGTTTTTGGTGAAACATTCTTCCACCGCCGACGGTGACGACACCACGACGACACGGCGGACGCCGAGCTGGAGGGTGACGATTGGGCCGTATTTGAGAGAGATCTTCTGCAGGCTGCGGTGCAGCGGCTGTTTAAGGAGGTGGAGGTGGCCGAGGATGGGGAGTTTCGGGTGTGGAGATGGAGGAAGGTTTTGGTGTCTCCTCCATGGGAGAAGTTTCAAAGCTGCTACGAGAAAAATTACAGCGAGAAATGCGTACAATAAAGTTGCTTCCATCATCTTATCTTTCTTTAGATTTCCGAGTTAATATTTCCTGATTTAGCTATGAAAATTAAATACTCGATACTCCATATTTGTGATATTTATATTGCCCAAAAGACATAGGTAAAATTTATGTTTGAAAAAATGGTCTATGGACTTTTCTGATTTGTCTGGTCGTATTGAAACGTTTGGTAGTAAAACTTCTCAACTACACGTGCTTGAAGGAATTATCACTACTTTAATTTGATGAAATGAGAACTAAAATACAATAATATATACAGGGAATTATCACTACTTTAGTTTGTTTTAGGAGAGCGGTAACTTAAACAAAATATTGTTTGGGAGGGCGAAATATTTTTTATTATATATATACACTAAAAAATTTTGTTGTTGGAGGGCGACCGCCCCTGGATCTGTACTGCGGTCCACCCCTGAATATATAACACTGAGGCCGAGCAAAAGATCAAATGTAAGCAATCTTCATCTGAATTGTATAATGGACTTTTATCTATGGCGTATTGGCGTTATTTACTGAGGTAGGATTTAAAAATTTATTTGAATCTTTAGTGGTATCTAACTTGTTACATTTGGAACTGTTGCATTATTTATTTGTTGAATTACTGCTAAATGTTTTTTGTACTGAACTGTAGAGCTTTGTTGTACGTAGTATTAAACTAGCTAGTTTTAACTTGTTACACTATAAGCAGGGGCGGAGCCACGAGGTTATGGTGGTCAGC